TGCAGGCGCAGCGCCGAGGGTTGCGATCCCGTTGCCGGTCCCGGTCCGGTACGGGCGCGACACTGAGGGTTGCGGTCCGTTGCCGGACACGGAAAAAAGACAAAAAGGAAAAAAAAAAAAAAGCTGGTCTGTTCCTATTTTTCAAGGACCTCAGTCAAGTCCCCTTGAGTGGGGCTCCCGTTAGCTCTGGGGTGCCAGATTGACTGTCCAATTCAAACCATGGGCTTCACGCCCTCCTGCAATGTGCAGATTTGTCCAGTACCTGCATTTAGATAATCATAATCACGGCCCTCATAAATTCAATATATTTAACCTTTGTATTTGTGCTACTATGTAGTTGCTGTCAGTGCCTGAAATATCAAGCAGAGCGATTTTATTCATTTTGAAAAATTCTGTTTATTATGCAACAAAATTGCTTGCTCTTTTAATGAAAAGAGTTGAGCAGATAGATTCTAAAGTTGAGAAAGCATCTGGCCGCTGCAGCTGGAGATAAGTAGGAATTTTCCATGTGGGAGAGTCAGGGTGTGGCTGAGCTGGGAGTGGGACCGAGGTGGCCTGGTGCCCCGAGACTCCTCGCCGGCTGTTCCTGCTGAGTCTCCAAACTCTGCCCCCTGCGTCCACTCAGCTTGGGACCAACATTAATACTCCATCTGGACAGGGTGGTGCCTGTGGTCAGTTCTGCTTTTAGATCTGTTTTTGAAAGTTGTAGGACTGATCACAAGCCCTGGCGATGGTGGGAACTCAGTTGAGGGCCCCTGTGTGTCCTCCACACATGCCAGGGTGGCTGGAGTGTGATGATTACATCACGTGTGTGTTGCTCAGGCCTCAGATCGGTAATTCATGGCACCCAACATATGCATATCCACATATTTTAAGAAACATCATGAGAGCTTTTCTGATTTTTCTTTTCAAACTCTCCTTTTCACAAACCACCATTCGCCCCTTAGGGATGCTGATATGCTGCCTATACGGACAACCCTCCAGGAAAATCACTACTGATGTGACCTTTTGTCACTGTGAGGGTGTGTCCTCTCCTTTGGGTTGGATGGGAAAACACTTTAAGAATTACTAACCTGTCTAATCTATAAAACTGTGACATAGATAATCCAAGTCTTTTCCTATGTATAGAAATGACATCAGCTTTGAATCTTAGGACCTGGGAGATGTCCGTGACACATTACAGCTCAAGGAGAGGACCACATAAGAACTGGATTTTGACGTGCCGACTCTAATAATCAAATCTTTGAGTTATGTGTACGAGTTGTGAAGACGTCTGTCATTCCTTCAGTAGACAGGAGCTTAGGAATTAGGTGTCGTGAGATGGTCAAATAAAAATTACATCTTTCACAGAACGGACAAATAAAAATTGTCCCCCTAAAATTCAGGTGAATTGGGTTCTAGTTTTAACTGCATCTGCCCATGGGACTTTGGTCAAATCTGGGCCCCCGTTTCCCCAAAAGGAAAGTTTGGGGCGTTGGGCTGGACGATCTGGGATGTCTCTGCCAGCTCTGAACTGGTTTCTCTCTAAGGACAATGACATAGAGTGGCAGCAGAGGGGGTTTGAGCCACGAAGACGCTCTGCTCCCCCGAGCAGGTGCAGACCCCGGCCAGGGGCAGACTTGACAGGTGTAGGTGTGCACAAGGGTCCAACTGGTGGCCTGCACTGTGTTTTGAATGGAAATATTGATAGCAAGCCCCCGAACAAGTCTTGGTGGCTTACCTTCTCCACTACCATGCTGATGTTTGAGATAAAAACTTGTAGAAAATATAATTTTAGGAATTCATCTTTTAGTACTGCTTGGGATAGAGAAATTATGATCGTGTTTTAAAATGTGTTTCCTCCCCCCAAATGCATTTTTCCTCATTCATTGCAATTTCCTGGATCTGAAACTAATACCTGTCAGCGTTCCTTTTACTGAATCTAACCATCCTAGTCACAGAGCGTCGTGTTGAGGGTCACTGAGTCTGCCGGGTGGTTCCCTCCTGCAGCCTGCAGTTTGTGACCCGTGAGGCAATTGTGCATTGAAGGCGCGTTCATCGCTTCCTGATGACTGTGCTTGTGCACTTCCAAAGCTACGTGCACTGCCAAGGTTCTGAGCCAAGAGAATTTAAATGGAATACTACTTTCTAAGAAGTGCATTGAAAAATAACAAATATGTATTTGATGTCCCTGTACTTTGGGAAGGATTGACATACAGTGTGTTAGGTGAATATCCTGACCCTCTGCAAGTTCATTTATCAGTATCTCTATGTAGACGCTTTATGTGCACACCTTCTTTGTGAAATTGCCTTCGGTGAGTCCCTTTTCAGAGCATCCAGGAACTTCATGTGATTTTTTTTTTCTGGAAAACGTTCAGGACTCTCTCTGAATTGGATATAAATATTGGAAAGACAGACATACTACAGGATTCAGAAAGAAAATAATAAAATGTCCATGGAGATTAAATGTTTTAGTGTTTTTATAAAGGAGAAATTTTAATTTTAAAATTAAAAGAAAATTAACCCAAGATGATGACTTAGAAGTTTTCCCACCAAACACAGTGGAATAAATGATATTGAACAACATTGCTACTTGTTTGAGAAACAGAAAAATAAGGCTGTCTGTCAATGGAGAACTGAGAAAGCCAGGCCTGAATTCCATCCACGTCTTAATTTCTACATAGTTCCTGTCCTCATTTATGCATTAGCAAAGTGGTTCAGAACTTCCCCCTAAACCTATTACTTAAATATTTCTTTTTTTTTTGTCTTTTTTGAGACCGGCCGCACTGCGCTCAGTCAGTGAGCACACCAGCCATCCCTATATAGGATCTGAACCCACGGCGGGAGCACTGCTGCGCTCCTGAAGCTCTCAATCCGAGGTCATCTCACTGAGGGTGCAGATAGATTTTGAATTTGCAAAAGACGAACAGATTTATGATTAACAGGTTCAAATGTCATAGTTGTTTAACTAAGTGGGAGTGCGTGATACACAGTAAGAGATCACTTTTATTCTCCATATTCTTAATTCATGTGATGTATCGCTGCACTTCCTGTTGAGAGGAGACAAAGTCCATCATTTGGGGAGGGAAATTTTTAAAATACCATTTTTTGTTCCCATTTCCATATTCAGCCAATCCTGTTTCATTTTTCTGGGTTTGCTCAAGGGCCCAAGAATAGCTGAGAATTAACTGTGTCCACACACACACACACGCACGCACACTTCAGATGACTGCACACACCTGCCCAGCCTCTCTCCTCTGCTGCCCACCTGTGCACCTTGCGGCCAGGGCACCTCGCCCTCGTGGGTCACCTAAATGCACACAGCTCTGGGGGCTGAGAACAGAGAGGAAATGAGGGGGAGACGGGGGACGGGGGAACCTTCAGGCCATGCCGGGGGTAGGGAGGAGGTGGAGCCGTGTGTGGGGACAGAGGACACGGGGACCGTAGTGTACAGCGTGGTGTGTGTTTTCAGTTGGTCTGCCCTTTGTGATGACCTTCTAAGTGCTAAGGCCCTGGCTTCACGGTGCCTAACTTGCTTTTGTGATTGATCTTTGCTCTCAGCGGATTCCACGGGGACCCACTCCCTCTACACCACGTACAAAGACTACGAACTCATGTTCCACGTGTCCACGCTGCTTCCCTACATGCCAAGCAACAGGCAGCAGGTACGTCCCCCCAGCCTTGCCCAGTGGGGCTCAGTCTGGGGCAGCCCACTGACGACACGGATGCCTTCACAATTTGCAAAGAATCAGTGACATTTGTGTTTTTTTGAATAGCATTAATAATCGATGACTCTTTTCCATTTGGCAGTATTTGGGCTTTGAAGGGAGTATTATTGCATTTTTCCTTATTGAACTAGAAACTCTCCTATGCTTACCTTTATTGCTTGCTAGGCAAAGTTTTCGGAGAAACCCCTATCAACTTGTGAATTACAGAAAGGCCAACGATGTTGGCCTGACTTAGATTTCTGCTTGTGGGTGAATAATTTTTATAGAAAATACAATTTGCAATTGTTACTGATGTTATTTTTAACTATTCTTTCTCATTTAGTTTTCATTGAATTTATTGACCAAAATGTATAGACCTTTTTAGAGGAAAAAAGAAAAATCAGTGTGCCTCATGGTTTGAATGCAGCCACTTAATTGAGAATTAAGAACCTTTTCAAACTTGAATAATGCATCAAATCTTATAAAATGGTTTACGTAACTTTTTAATACAACTGTGGAATTGGGTTGGACAAGTTCTTTTGCAAAGATTGCTAGAAATGATGGCTTTTTCCTCCTGTGCTAGACATATTTGAAATGCCGTATTTACTGTGTGAGCTTGAAAAGACTCTGAGGATTGTGTGGGACAGAATCTGTGTTTGGGAGAAGGAAGGGCCTTCCAC